TGGGGACCGAGACTCAAACGGGAGAAACGGGACTGTCTGGCTTCGGTCGGAACTCGAAGGCAGCTTTCTCTCTGAGGTTTGCAGCCATTGCTGGGGCTCTGAGAGGCAGAGCCCCTGGGGAAGGAACTGAGAGTCGCCATAACTGCTTGTTCCGCCCGCTCTGTAGATCCCCGGGGACCCGCCCCGCCCAAGCCCTGCGCAGCGCCATTTGCCGGATAGCCTCAGGCAAACGCTAGATTAGCACCGCCCTAGAGATCCAGCACAGAAGCCCTCCCACTACAGACACAGCAGACTCTCATAGCCAGTTAGCCTGGAGGTCAAATCACCCCGGTATTGCCGACATCAATCAAGGCTTAAAGGCAACAAGACTGCGGACAAAGACCACTAGGGGGTGCACCAAGAAAGCATAAAAAATGCGGAGACAAAGAAACAGGACAAAACTGTCAATGGAGGATATTGAGTTCAGAACCACACTTTTAAGGTCTCTTAAGAACTGTTTAGAAGCTGCCGATAAACTTAGTAAGGCCCTCGAAAAGACTGGTGAGACCGCCGATAAATGTAATGAGATCCTCAAGAAATCTAATGAGACCCTCGATGTTGTGATAAAGAACCAACTAGAAATTAAGCATACACTGACTGAAATAAAGAATATTATACAGACACCCAACAGCAGACCAGAGGAGCGCAAGAATCAAGTCAAAGATTCGAAATGCGAAGAAGCAAAAAACACCCAACTGGAAAAGCAAAATGAAAAAAGAATCCGAAATTATGAAGATAGTGTAAGGAGCCTCTGGGACAGCTTCAAGCGCACCAACATCAGAATTATAGGGGTACCAGAGGATGAGAGAGAGCAAGATATTGAAAACCTATTTAAAGAAATAATGACAGAAAACTTCCCCCACCTGGTGAAAGAAATAGACCTACAGGTCCAGGAAGCGCAGAGAACCCCAAACAAAAGGAATCCAAAGAGGACCACACCAAGACACATCATAATTAAAATGCCAAGAGCAAAAGACAAAGAGAGAATCTTAAAAGCAGCAAGAGAAAGAAACCCAGTTACCTACAAGGGAATACCCATACGACTGTCAGCTGATTTCTCAACAGAAACTTTGCAGGCCAGAAGGGAATGGCAAGAAATATTCAAAGTGATGAATACCAAGAACCTACAACCAAGATTACTTTATCCAGCAAAGCTATCATTCATAACGGAAGGTCAGATAAAGAGCTTCACAGATAAGGAAAAGCTAAAGGAGTTCATCACCACCAAACCAGTATTATATGAAATGCTGAAAGGTATCCTTTAAGAAGAGGAAGAAGAAAAAAAAAAAAAAGGTAAAGATACAAATTATGAACAACAAATATGCATCTATCAACAAGTGAATCTAAGAATCAAGTGAATAAATAATCTGGTGATCATAATAGAATCAGGGACATAGAAAGGGAATGGACTGACTATTCCTGGGGGGGGAAGGGGTGTGGGAGATGCGGGAAGAGACTGGACAAAAATCGTGCACCTATGGAAGAGGACAGTGGGTGGGGAGTGAGGGCGGAGGGTGGGGCGGGAACTGGGAGGAGGGGAGTTATGGGGGGAAAAAAAAGAGGAACAAATGTAATAATCTGAACAATAAAGATTTAATTAAAAAAAAAATAATAAAATAAAAGGACACACACACACACACAAAAAAAAAAAAAAAAAAAAAAGAATCCAGCCTGGGAGACTTCAAATTCATTGACATTATGATATGCTTAGGTAGGAAATTTTGCAAGCAAATGAGGCAACAATTTTTGCAGGTATCTTCAATGGTGCAAAGGCCATTGATAAGAAAGAAAATAGATATATATTTTAATCCTCTTTGAATCATATGAATTAAATTATTTTTATTTATTTGTTAATCCTAACCTGAGGATATTTTCCTCATTGATTTTTTTAGAGAGTGTGGAAGGGAGGGAGAGGAAAGAGAGAAAGAGAGATTGCTTGCCTCCTGCAAGCATCTGACGCAGGCCAGGGATCAAACCTGCAACCAAGGTACATGCCCTTGACTGGGAATCAAACCCTCAACCCTCCAGTGTGCAGGCCAACACTCTGACCACTGAGAAACATTGGCCAGGGCTAAAATTAAAATGTATTTTAGTGTCAACATAATCATTAATAAAATTGGCCCTTTTCCATTTAATACCCTCTCTTCCACAACTAAAAGATTTGCTAGCAGGTCCTTATTTTGCAGAGAGTCTAGTACCCGTTTGATGTGGGCCTAATAACTTTAATAAAAAGAAATTTTATAAAACAATAGTAATCCCATCATCATCAAAATGCTTTATAAAGTGCTTTTTACATGTGGTATTACACAGATGTTATATAAAGACCTTTTCTTAATAGTTTATAATATAAGCTATCATAATAATAGCTAGTAATTATCATTTGTTGATAATTACCTAGTATATACCACACTGGGTTTTGTTTTGTTTTCGAGGTATTTTTACAGGTTTATTAATTTACCTGACTAGAAAGCTCTTAGATTATGATACACATATTAATTATTCTGAAATGTTGTCAATAGTCCTTGATCTAAAAACATAAAAACCTCATTTTAATACTTGCAAACATTTTTCCTAGGCAGTACGTGGTTGTAACCAGGGTAAGATCCCTGTAGGGCCTGGAAAAAACTTATTTGGAGCCCTCATTAGGAAAATCAATAAGAATTTGGAATATGAATATAAGTAGAAATGTAGATATTTTTTAGAATGAGAAACAGTCACAACAAAATATAAATTGTAAAAAGCTAATAAATGTAAGTATCACAAAATTCAGAAACTAAATTATAGTCTTCTTTAAAACTTTATTGCTGAGAGTGTTATAGATGTCTCCCCTTTCCCCCCATTGCCTCCCTCCACCTGGTTCCTACCCAACCCCAGGCCTTCACCACACTATTGTTTGTGACTGTGGGCAATGCATATCTATATATATAAAACCCTAATATACAAATAGACCAAATAGCGGAACAACCAAACATCCGGTCACTATGATGTACACTGACCACCGGGGGGTGGCGGGGAGGAGGTGCGTGGAACATGGTGAGCGTCAGCAGCAGGCAGCAGAGTGTGGAACATGGCAAGGATTGGCTGTGTTGGGATGGTGGAGCAGGTGAGCAGGGGCACCAGACCAAGGCGGGGCACCAGACCAAGTCAGGGCACTGGTCACTGCCATCAGGGTGAGCCTCTGGTGGTTACTGAAAATTCTTTGCTCCGGCTGGGCGCTCGCACCTGCTGCTGGTGCTCACCCTGCTTGCACCTGCTGCCAGCGCCCGGCACTGACTCCAATTGCCCCTGAGGACTTCTCCACCTCCCCCTGCTCCTGAGGGGTAATTGGGGCTGGCAGCCGCCACTCGCACCCGCTGCCAGTGCCTGGTGCTGGTCCCAATTGCTCAGCTCCATCAGCGGGTGCGAGCAGTGGCTGCTGGCCCAATCGCCCCTGCGGGCTTCTACACCTTCCCCTGCTCCTGAGGGGCAACCGGGGCAGCAGCTGCCACTCGCACCCACTGATGGCGCTGGCCTTGCTCTCACCTGCTGCTGGCTCTGGCCCCAATCGCTCCACATCATCAGCAGGTACAAGCAGGGCCAGCGTCATCAGCATGTGGGAGCAGCAGGAGCGGGGCTGCCAGCAGACAGGGGAATGGGGGCCACGGTGGGATGGGCTGGGCGGGGTCCGGGACGTGGAGGATGGGCTGAGACCCATCCCTATGCCCACGGCAGCCTCGTGGCTCACAGTTCATTTCAAGGTACACAAACTCATGCACTGGGCCCCTAGTATATATATAAATTCTTTGGTTAATCTCTTCCCAAATTTGTCCATTTCCCCCCTTTCCTCTGAGATTCTTCAGTCTATTCCATGTATCCATGCCTCTGGATCTATTTGGTTTGTCATTTTATTTTGTTCATTAGATTCCACATGTAAGTGAGATCATGTGATATTTGTCTTTCTCTGACTGGCTTATTTCTTTTAGTTAATAATCTCCAGGTCCCTCCATGCTGTCTCAAAGGGTAAGAGATCCTTCTTTTTATAGCTGCATAGTATTCCATGGTGTAAATGTACCACAGCTTTTTTATCCACTCATCTACTGATGAGTACTTTAGCTTTTCCCACATCTTAGCTATTGTAAATAACACTGCTATGAACATAGGGATGCATATATTCTTTCTGACTGGTGTCTTGGAATTCTTAGGATATAACCCTAAAAGTGGGATCACTGGGTCAAAGGCAGTTTCATTTTTAATTTTTTGAGTTAAGTCAATACTGTTTCCCACAGTGGCTGCACCAGCCTGCATCCCACCAGCACTGCACTAGGGTTCCCTTTTCTCCACATCCTCTCCAGCACCTGTTGTTTGTTGATTTATTGATAGTAGTCATTCTGGCAGTTGTGAGGTGATACCTCATTGTAGTTTTAATTTACATCTCTTTGATGTTAGTGACATTAAGCATTTTTTCATATGTCTCTTGCCATTTGTATGTCCTCTTTAGAGAAGTACGTATCCAGGTCCTTTGCCCATTTAAGAAATATATTTTTATTGATTTCAGAGAGGAAGGGAGAGGGAGAGAGAGCTAGAAACATCAATGATGAGAGAGAATCATTGATCGGCTGCCTCCTGCATGCCCCACACTGGGGATTGAGCCCACAACCTGGGCTTGTGCCCCAACCAGGAAGGGAACCATGACCTCTTGATTCATAAGTTGATGCTAAACCACTGAGCAATGCCGGCTGGGCCCTTTGCCCATTTTTAAATTGGATTGTTTGTTTTCCTTTTGTTGAGTTATATGAGTTCTTTACATATTTTAGAAATTAACTTCTTATCAGATGTATTACTGGCAAATATATTCTCTCAGATAGTGGGTTCCCTTTTCATTTTGATGCTGGTTTCTTTTGCTGTGCAGTAGCTTTTTAGTTTGATGTAGTCCCATTTATTTATTTTTCCCTTTGTTTCTCTGGACCTAGGAGATGTATCGGCAAAAATTCTGCTATGTCAGTTGTCTGAGATTTGCTACCTATGTTTTCTTCTGGGATTTTAATGGTTTCACAAATTACATTTAAGTCTTTATCCATTTTTAATTTATTCTTGTGTATGGTGTATGGACCTGATTAATACTTCTCTGAAGAGGACATACAAATGGTAAGTTTATGGTCTAATTTCTTTTTTCTTCTTCTTTTTTTGCATTTACCTGTCTAATTTTCCCAACACTGATCTCGGTCTAATTGCTGATTGTTCTACAGGCTCCCTCCATAGAGATTACAGGATCTATGGCAGGGATAGTAGCCGGAGAGGAAAACAGAGTTTCAGAAGCTTTTGTAAATACTACCAGTAATACATACATATGAGTGCAAAGGTACATATGAATTTATTTGTCAATCTGTAGAGCCAGCAATACTCAAGCAGGTAAATCAAACCTTTCACCATTGAAGAGAAGCTACAATGAACCTCCTACATCAGGGGTCCTCAAACTTTTTAAACAGGAGGCCAGTTCACTGTCCCTCAGACCGTTGGAGGGCCGGACTATAGTTTAAAAAAAACTATGAACAAATTCCTATGCACACAGCGGCGGCAAAAACACCCGGCAGGCCGGATAAATGTTTTCCGCGGGCCGTAGTTTGAGGACCCCTGTCTTACATAAATATTCATTTGAAAATCTGCCACTGGGCTGTTTTCACTCATTCATTCAACTAGATCCACCTGCCTATGTAATTCCAGTCTTTATTTTGTCTGTTGGGTGAAAATGGCAATCTCATCGACTTACTCGAGGCCTCAGGCTCTTGGAAATAAATGATGAACCATTCAGGAGCTACACATCTGAGACGCAGCCCACAGAATGGTTTCTGCCCTGAGAAAGGTCAGTTATTTTTTGCCTTTGTCCTCTTTGCTTCTGTCATATGTTTCTTTCCTATGCTTCTGCCCAACACACACACACCCTCTGTGGAGAGATGCGAAATCTTTGTTGAGTACACCTCCGTAACAATGGAAAAATTCCTCCCCAGATGACTTGGGACACATCGGAGCCAAACCATTTCCTTCAACCCCTGAGCACATTGTTTCCCTCCCGTGACTTCTGCAATCCAGAAACAGCTGCAAATTCCAGTAAAACAACATTGGGATCCAATTCCTGAAGCCATCCTTGTCCTTTTGTTTTTCTCTCTGGAGGGAGGAAAGGGAAAAATCCTTGAAAAGCTGCCATGGTGCATTATTTCCAAGCGTCTGTTAATGGAGGTGTGAGCCAAGCGGCCCGTTCTACTGGAGGAAAGGAGAGAGCAGAAATGGAAAAAGGGAAGATATAAAAAAATGGAGAAAAACCTGAGTGAGTGAAATGAAATTACACAATGGGGGGGAAAGAAGAGCGAAAACATTGCTCATGCAAAGCATTTGAAATGCGCGCTTCAGAAGGCTTCATCTCACCTCGCTTTCCACTTTGGCTGAGCCAGGAACCCAGTCTATTTTAGTATTTAATTTGGACCCTTCATACTTGAAGCTAACCGAATCAGAGGACATCAGGATCTATAAAAATGATACTGTGAATGGAAGGTGCCTAAAGAAGATACTATTTCACAAAATTAATTACAGTAACACACTTGCAACCTCTACAATACACGTAAGTGGTGTGCCGATTTATTGATTATTTTTTACTTGCCCTTTCGCATTCACTCTCTAGCCATTTTTACTCCTTGCAGTGCCTGGGAGATTGGTCTTTAGGGATGAAATGAATGCTTGCTGTCTGGCTTCTGGTTCGGGTTAGCTCATGGGAAGCATCACCAGGAGGAGATTGCGGAGTAGAACGAGTGAGGTTGAGATATTTATTCTGTGTTTCCCACCCCATGGGTCACACAGGTGGGAGGCTTCTCTCTATTAAAGTTCACAGCTCCTGGGAGAGGGGAGTCTCCCTTCCTCTTTCAGCAGCTATGCTCAGCTGCTTCCCTTTGCCCCTGCATGGGTGGGGGTTGGGTAACAGAATCTCACTGCTGCTTATCCCTGGGTACTGCATTTTCCTTTTCCAATTCCCTAAACCTCACCCACACCTTTATAAATAGATTAGTCCCTTAAACTCTCTTTAATTATACAGTTTTTAGTGTGCTCTCTGTTTCCAGAAGGTGTCCTGGCATAATTTTTCTCTTCAGCTAGAGCTAGACTGTCTCTTGGGTATACAGTCTTATAGGATGCCTTGTGTCTCCTTCAAAACATCTAGCACAGCCCATGCACAGAGTAAACCCTGGTCATTAATGTTATTGATCATCTCAGGGAAGTCCTTCACTTACTTTGGTCTCTCTTTTCAAGGCCACATGAGCAGATCCATTTAGTGAATCTTACATGATTCCACCTGCTCACACAATGTCTGCCTATCATTGCCCAATGCCTGCATGTAGTGGAATTTTGCTGCTTATGGTAAGCAGTGTGGTGTAACGGAAATAGTGTTTGGGAGCCTTACAGACCAAGGTTTAACACCCAGCTCCGCTCCTTACTAGTCGGGTAACATGGGAAAAGCTACTTAAAGGTCCCGAGAACCACCGTCATCCACACATGTGAGATGCAGAATCGCCACATCTCCTCCCCCTTGCTCCTTCCCCATCTTTACCATTGTGGCCAAGCAGAGTTCTTTGTCCTCAGTTTGAACACCATGTCTGATGGTTGGACAGAGCCAGGTTCCTGAAGAGGAGGGGATAGAGAAGAAAAGGAGAGAAAATGATGGAAGGTGTAGATCTATTGGGGAACATCATCATCATTAGTTATGATCTATGTTAAGTATGCTTGGGGGAGATGTGGAAGAAACTGTGATACCTAAAGAAGCTAAGGAAAAAGCGTATGAAGAGGTGTAAAACATAAATGAGAGGGGATATTCCAGTGCTGCTGGTCTGAAGTGATGGTGCTGTATTCATAGTCTTTCAATGGGACCAGACTGAAGCAAAGAATTTGTCCCATGTAGAAGACAAGACACTAAGCAGAGAACATGTTCAAAAGAGAAACATAAGATGTGGCCATAATTCCTTCCACCTCTTAAGTGAGTTGGTTTGTAACTTGTAAGTTCCCCCAAAATGGAATTTTTAATTTCCCAGCCCTACCAATGAAGTGAACGCCATAATCCAAACCTCTTCAAACAAGTTGATTTACTTTTAATATTTTTTTGAAAGACAGTATCAAATCTAAATCTCTTTTGTAAAGATTTAGAGCTTGTATATAATTTAGATAAAAGGCTTTTTTAACCCCTAGAGTGCCAGGATCGCGATCGCACTCCTCCTGCAGTGTCACTATTAGATGCTAGTAGTTCACTCTTTATTGACAGATGGCACCTAAGTGCAGATTCCTTATGATGCCGAATGTTTGTAGTTCTAAAATTGACCACTGGCATTTATCTGCCTAATTTTTTACAGGTACTACAATTTTATGAAGTTTACTCAGATTTTGTAGCCCAAAAGCTTCAAAATGGCATCCAGTTCTAAGTCTGCTTTTATTGGTGATGATGATATTGCTAAATATGTCAATTCTTGCTGTGAAGATGACGATTTTGTGGAAGATATTGGAGAACAGTGTCCCTCTATGTTAGCATTATATGTTTTGTTCAAATTTTTTTTCTACTCGTATTTTATAATACAATCAGCAAACAATAGATGTCAAAGATGAAAACAAATGTAGTAAAGGTTTCCAAGGTAAGTTTTTGAATATGTAACTTCATTTACTTGCGACTCATAATTTTTTTCCTAAACTGCTGTAAAATCAGCAAAAATGCCTTGGCAATTTTAGCATAGTTCCTAGGATATTGGTTGGCACTCAAAGGGTTAATTTGGAAAATCACTACGATTCACATTCTCCTAGTTGGTTATGCCAGCCATTGCAATGCCCCCAAAGGGTTGTTCTCACCTCCTTTACTCCTGTCTCCATGATAAACAATAAAGAGCACGTCACAACACTGAGAATCAAATAGTACGATGGAGCTCCATGCACACACATATTTAAGTTGCTTGAAGTCAACTATATGCTCAACAAAAGGAAATAATACAGATGAGTATATACATATATGTGTGCTTCCCCCACCCCCGACAATATGGCCCTTCAATTCAAGCCAACTTCTTCATCTGGTGCTTCACCAAAGAAACAACCATGGCCATCTGTTCCAACGCTAGGGAAAAACTGGCTGTGGTGAACTTACTGAGAGATGGCACAGAATGCATGAAACCATCTGATCTGTACTGTATGAGTGATTTAATATATGTTTGTGGTAATTTTTTCCTATGTATGATTTTTGCCCTATGTGTTGACTTCAGAATCCAAATTCTAAGCATGGTCTAAATGACTATTGCGTGTCGTTTCAAGTAGCCAGACCCTCAGCATACATGAAAAGTGACTGCTAACAATACCCAGTATTACTTTGAGGTTAATTTGGAAACTGCTTACGCAGCCTCATAGCTGTGAAGACATCTGCATCATCGTATTCCCTCCAAAAGATTCCTTCTGTCAATACTGGCATTATTTTTTTTAATTTTATTTTTCAATTACAGTATAAATTCAATATTATTTTGTATTAATTTCAGGTGTACAGCATAATGGTTAGACCAGCGGTTCCCAAGCTGTGGGTCACGACCCCTTTGGTGGTCGAACGACCCTTTCACAGGGGTCACCTAAGACCATCCTGCATATCAGATAGTTACATTACGATTCATAACAGTAGCAACATTACAGTTATGAAGTAGCAATGAAAATAATTTTATGGTTGGGTCACAACATGAGGAACTGTATTTAAAGGGCCAGAAGGTTGAGAACCACTGGGTTAGACAATCATATATTTTACAAAGTGATTCCCACCAATATTTCAACTACCCACCTGACACCATACATAGTTATTACAATATTACTGGCTACATTCCTATACTATACTTTATTTTATTTTTTAAAATATATTTTTATTGATTTCAGAGAGGAAGGGAGAGGGGGAGAGAGAGATAGAAACATCAATGATAAGAGAGAATCTTTGACTGGCTGCCTCCCGCATGCCCTGTACTGGAGATTGAGCCTGCACCAAGGCCTGTGCCCTAACCAGGCATCGAACCGTGATCTCCTGGTTCAGAGGTCGATGCTGAACCACTGAGCCACGCCAGCTGGGCCCTATGCTATACTTTACATCCTTGTGACCATTTTATAACTACCAATTTGTACTTCTTAATCCCTTCACCTTTTTCACCCAAACCCCCAACCCCAATAATGACATTATTGATATTTTCAATTAGTTATTTAAAATACTTACTGACTTACTTACTATCTGCTAGAAGTTGATTGGCCATAGCTTAAACAGTTGTTTTATTTGGGAAAGCCTAGTTGGCTATGATTAGTTGTTCTTAAATTTCATTTTCTCAGATTTGAGGGCACTGATTCTGGCTTATATTGACTAGCAACACATTAACGCCACCTCAAATTAATGGCCTCCTGGTAACATCTGGAATGTCCAGGAAACATTCTTCTGTAATCATGAACCAGCCTGGAAGATATAGGAGAGTCTACTTGTGAGGCGGGTCAGGGGGAGGGACAGTTATCCAGAGTCTAGGGGTGTCAAGCCGAGTGTCAGGTGTCTCACTGGTCAGGCCCAGCCAACAACCCGTGAGCAGTGAGATGAGGAATCCCCTGGATCAGAACCGTGTGGGCCAATACGAAGCAGGCCAGTGCTGTATGTGTCCAGGGGCCAGACAGGTGAGCATCTGAGCAGAGAAGTCAGGACACAGAAGTGGTGCACACCTGGGAAGGGCACGAGAAAAGCAATTCAGGAGCTGACTGGAGAGTAGCATCAAAGGCCGAAATAATTCAGGCAGAGTCAAGAGCCTAGACAAGGAGACAGGACCACAGCTATGTGGTAGAGACTAAATGAAGCGAACACAGGCTTCAGAGTGGGGCAGACCCAGGTTTGAATCCAAAGGCAACTATTTATCTGCTGTGTAAACCTGGGCAAGCCACTTAACCTCTCTGAGCCGCTGTTTCCTTGACTAAAAAGGAACATAACAATTAGTCTGCCTCACAGAATTGTTGTAAAGAGTATAAATAATTCATGAACTGTGCTTGGCGCTCGGAGCACTCAACAAATGAGAGCTATTATTATTGTCAATATCACCCTCATAATTTATATCGAACCACAGAGATTTCTGCGGCTCAGCCGAGAAGATAAAGCAAGTGAGGGGAGTGCTTGCCGAGAACAGAGAAACTAGGACGGGGAGCCAGGGCAGGCCTCCCCAGAACTGATCACAGATGACGCCTCTCACTTATGTCTGGCCATTTGTAATTGTCAGCATGCTCATTTGTTCTTATTCTTGGTGCTACTATCACCATTGTCATCATTGTCATTATTCCCTCCGACAAAAATAGAAAGAACCTTAGACTTCTGTTAAACCAGCCACACTGCTTGGGCTCTCCCCTGGCAAATCCATTTATCGTTTCTGTGGGGTGAGCTGTCATTGATATCCAGGGACACCACCTGCTTGGGGTTTCTGACACTGTCTCTATGGTTTCTGGCAAGATCTAATTAGCTAAGTAAGGTGGGGCCCAGTGAGGTTAATAGGTTAATGCTGGCAAGGGAGATGGGGGGAGGGGGACACAGGTGGTTATGGGAGATGGTGCTTATGATGGAGAGCATGACCAGCACAGCCTGGTGTCACGGGGTACTTACTGGGGTAGAAAACCAAGGTCATGGCCTTCCGTAGCCTCTGAGGAGTCCATGACAACATATTTCATTGAATAATGACATTGACCCCAGTGATCCTGCCTGTTTCCAACTGATGTGACTCGCCCCCTTTACATTGGACTCACCCTGCTCCTGGTGCCCAATCCAATAACAAGCAACATTTTTGAAGCCCTTACTGCATGCCAGGCATACTGTCTCATTAATCCTCACCACAGCCCTATGAAGTTGGTACTATTGTTTGCTCCATTTTGTAGATTAGTAGAGGTTCAGAGAGGTTAAGCAACTTGTCTAAGACCACACAGCTAGTAACGCTGTTGAGCCAGGTTTGGGAATTTAGGTTTTGCTGACTGCAGACCTCCAGCTCTGAATTAGAATGCGAACCAGTGCTTCTCACACTTTGAGTCACACCGGGAGATTTGTTAAAGTGAAGATTGTGATTCAGCAGATCTGGATCGGGCCTGAGGTGCAACTCCCAGGCTATGTGGGTACTGTCGCTCCATACTTTCAGCAGCAAGGGGCTTGCCTGGTAGATTTGGTTCACATAGTTGGTAGGTTCCCGCCTGCCCCGACCAGGAACTTGGATAAGAAACTTTTAGACCATTTATATAGTGTGTATTCATTTCCCATGCTGAGTAACAAATTACCACAAAGTTAGCACCTTAAAACAAAATCCATTTACTATCTCACAGCTTCTGTGGGTCATGCCTCTGGGAACAGCATGACTCCTTGCTCCGGTTCTCAGAACATGAGTCAAGGTGTCCGCCAGGCTGTGCTCTCATAGGGAGCTTAGGGCTCTCGTCCAAGCTCATTCAGGCCGACACAGAATTCAGTTTTTTTTACTGGTGAGCTCCTGTCCCTGTTTCCTGGCAGGCTGTGCACTGAGCCCACTCTCAGTTCCTAGAGACACGTTTCTTGCCACCTGGCCCTTCTATCCTCAGAGCCAGCAATGGAAAATCTCCTTTTGGTTGAATCCTCCTACTTCAAATCTCCTGTTTCTGACCTCGAGGTCCAGATTTCAAGGGCTTATGTGATTAGCTCAAGACCACCCAGACAATCCCCTGTCTGATTTAGAACCTAAATCACACCTGCAAAAATTTCTTCACAGCAGGAGGTTGGTTAGTGTTTGAATAACCAGGATGAAGGCTTGAGAATACCAGGGGCCAGAAATCTTGAGGGCCATCTGAGGATTCTGCCGTCACCAAGGGTTTGGTCTTCTTGGGTGAGCTGAGTTGTTGGTTGATCAGTGTTTTTAGAGTCATGGAAACTGAGACTATATAAACTGCCTCATTTCTGCTTTCATTTCTACTCATTTCTTGTAAGCCTCTCGTTTAGTATTAAAATTTACCAACAATGGCTTCTAAATAAAAATGAACTGTCTTGGGGGAGATTACAGCGAATTGAGCTAAGCCCCTTTTTCCTGTGCATTGTGCAAACTATCCTAAAACAGCAACTGATATGTAGATCATTTGGGTTTTGTTTTTTACTAACTCACAACCAATGTTCAGGAACAAGTCTCCAGATGCAATAGTGTTTACATGAAGGCAGTAACTTCTACTCAAGGAACTCTAAGTGTTCCTTAGGTGACATGAGTTAATAAATATTAGAGCCTGCATTGTGAAGAAGCAGGGTGTGTAATACCTTGCCATCAAAGATTTGTCTGAAGCCCCCTTCTTTTCTCTCTTTTTTTTTTTAAAAAAAAATATTTTATTGATTTTTTACAGAGAGGAGGGGAGAGGGGTAGAGAGTTAGAAACATCAATGAGAGAGAAACATCAGCTGCCTCCTGCACACCCCCTACTGGATGTGCCCGCAACCAAGGTACATGCCCTTGACCGGAATCGAACCTGGGACCCTTCAGTCTGCAGGCCGACGCTCTATCCACTGAGCCAAACCGGTCAGGGCCTTTTCTCTTTTTAAAATTGATTTGTGTGTGAGAGAGAGAGACAGAGAGAGAGAGAGAGAATCCACTTATTTATGCATT